CAATGTCTGCTTGTGGAGATGCCGCCGTGGCTCCTGGGTAGAACAGGTTATCTCCGCAGTAAGAAGTAGAGTTACACGATGACGTCACTACGGGCCTTTGATACGTGAGAGTAGGAGAACCAGTATTGGAGAAGGCGGGGACTCGCTGGGAACAGAACTGGAGGCCGGTAGAGGGCGAAGTGACAGCTTGGGGACCCTTCTTCCACGGATGAAACCCTTTCCCGACTGCAGCTTCGGCGAGAGGGGGAGGACTTTTACTGGTCAGCTTGTTACACTGTGCAGCTAACATAGCAAGCGGAGACCCGCCGAGTCGAGGGTGTTCCTGAAGTAAAAAAAATATATATATAAAGAAGGGTGTTAATCAAGAAAATCATTAGAACAACACGCGGAGAATCAGTTTACTTAATTCTTTAAAATTAAAAACAACCTAATAGTATGTGATGTAAAATATTTTTGCGGCCGTGGGGGAGCTTGTTGGTTAGGGTTCTCAATTCGAAATGTGCGAATCGCGGGTTCGAATCACGTCACAGAACATGCTTTTCCTTTCAGTCATGGGGGGTGATCATTATAACATGGCGGTCAATCCCACTATTTGTGTAGATTTGCGCGAAATCCAACAAACAAACAGTCGTATAAGGCCAGGCAAAAAATAATGTCACTCTAGGACAGACAGAAAATAATGTCACTCTAGGACAGACAGAAAATAATGTCACTCTAGGACAGACAGAAAATAATGTCACTCTACGACAGACAGAAAATAATGTCACTCTACGACAGACAGAAAATAATGTCACTCTAGGAAAGACAGAAAATAATGTCACTCTACGACAGACAGAAAATAACGTCACTCTAGGACAGACAGAAAATAATGTCACTCTAGGACAGACAGAAAATAATGTCACTCTACGACAGACAGAAAATAATGTCACTCTAGGACAGACAGAAAATAATGTCACTCTAGGACAGACAGAAAATAATGTCACTCTGCAAGATATAAATTATTTAAATTTTCATCCTAATTTCTGTCTGCACGAACAGGTGCTCTGTTCGTTTATTTGTTTTTTAATACTTTATTTGTTTGGAGTTAAACAAAAAGCTACACAATGGCTATCTGTGCTGTGCCAACCTCGGGTATTGAAACCCAGATTTTAACACTATAAGCCTTGCCGCTATGCCACTGGAGTGGGGGTTCTTCATATATATTTTACAGTAAGGTGTACAAAATAGCTCAAAATTCCTTATTCATTGTTGTTGGTAAGCGCAAAGCTACACTAAGGGCTATCTTTGCTCTGCCCACTATGAATATCGAAACCCTACGTTTAGTATCGTAAGTCTGCAGGCTTACCACTGAGCCACTGGGAAGCCAAAGCTTGTTGTAGAAATATACATATAAAAAACAACATAACAGGGTAGAAAAATGAAAAAAAAACATGAAGTTTGTATCATTTTTCCGTTTTGAACTAGAAATAGAAAGTTTATTACAAATAAAATAAATAAACATGTTGTTATCTAGAAATTAACTGATTTGCATACATAACAAACAATTGTCTGTGAGCAGATCACTTAAACTCGTAAAAAATTACAAAAAAACAACAACAATATGTGGATGTATATTAGCTAAATATTAAACTTGTATTAAATATCTTAAAATAATACAAAGTGAAATTTATATAAAAATTAAATATACAATAATTACAAACAAGGGAATTCATAATGAAAACACCAAATCTTCCAAAGTTCAATTTTCCGTTTATTATTTGTTTTTAATTTCGCGCAAAGCTACACGAGAGCTATCTGCGCTAGCCGTCCCTAATTTATCAGTGTAAGACTAGAGGGAAGGCAGCTAGTCATCACCACCCACTGCCAACTCTTGGGCTATTCTTTTAGCAACGAATAGTGGGATTGACCGTGACATTATAACGCCCCCACGGCTGAAAAAGCGAGCATGTTTGGTGTGAGGGGGACTCGAACGCGCGACCCCCAGACTGCGAGTCGAGCGCCCCCTAACAACCTGGCCATGCTGGGCCTTTCCTTTTATATTGTTAATTAATTATTATTACTATTTGTCATTACTTTGGTGTTAAATAAAGAGCATTAAACCGACCGGTTGTTCTCTTTATTTTCGATAAAGTAACATTAATATTTCGTTTTAATGATTTAGTTTTCTGATGCGTAGGCGCCTAAATAGGGTGCAGAAAAGGCACGTGCAACCATACTTTGAATATCTGCTCTTCTGGAAACTCTTGTATCATTAAAAAAATAAAATAAAGTGTACACTTTATCTATTTTTTTAATTAATATTTTAATTAAATTTTAATTTTAATTAATTTATTTTAATTAATTTTAAATACGCATTATTAATGCGTTATTTTTTTAATTAATATACAAAATACTTAATTTAGTAAGATGATTTATTTATTTGTTTGTTTTGAATTTCGCGCAAAGCTACACGAGAGCTATCTGCGCTAGCCGTCCCTAATTTAGCAGTGTAAGACAGCTAGTCATCACCACCCACCGCCAACTCTTGGGCTATTCTTTTACCAACGAATATTGGGATTGACCGTCACATTATAACGCCCCCACGGCTGAAAGGGTGAGCATGTTTTGGTGTGACGGGGATTCGAACCCGCGACCCACAGATTGCGAGTCGAGTGCCCTAACCACCTGGCCATGCCGGGCGCTAGTAAGATTAATAAAATATAAAAAAGGCCCCAGAATAGTGCCATGTTTTAAGATAGGTAAAACATTAAAAATATTTTTTACAACTTTAGACCGTTTAGGTCTATATTTCATAATATCGAAGAGCAAATCCGCAAACATAGATTTTTCGTTGTCTTTGAAGCAGGGTCGGGGCCACGGGGGCCGAACCCCTGAAAGTTAAGAAATCTGAACTATTTTGAAGAAGTAGATGAGACACAGTATCCAATGCTTTAAGCTAAATGTCTAAATACAGCAGTAGATTTACGTTTAGAATATAGTGGCTAATATATTTTTTATATCTTTTATTAATTTAATAAAATTTAATTAATCTTTTATTAATTCATAAACCACATTTTGTACCCCGAGGCCATCTTTAAAACCAAACTGATTTTTAGAAAACATTTTGGAAATTCCAAGAAGCCTACTAATAACTTTTTTTTATTTTTCAATACTTTTAGACAAATTAGCAAGTAATGTAATTGGTTTATAATTATTTAACTTTGCTTTATCACCTTCCTTCTAGAAAAAACAACAATAAAAAAATGAACAAAAACATCTAGTTAGTTAGAAGGATGATTGGTAGAAAGATGAATGAAAAACAAAGTTTGGTGGAAGGATGATTGGTAGAAAGATGAATGAAAAACAAAGCTTGGTGGAAGGAGGATTGGTAGAAAGATGAATGAAAAACAAAGTTTATTGGAAGGATGATTGGTAGAAAGATGAATGAAAAACAAAGTTTATTGGAAGGATGATTGGTAGAAAGATGAATGAAAAACATAGCTTGGTGGATTGATGATTAAAGACATAAAGTTTGGTGGAAGGATGATTGGTAGAAAGATGAATGAAAAACAAAGTTTGTTGGAAGGATGATTGATAGAAAGATGAATGAAAAACAAAGCTTGGTGGAAGGATGATTGATAGAAAGATGAATGAAAAACAAAGTTTATTGGAAGGATGACTGGTAGAAAGATGAATGAAAAACATAGCTTGGTGGAAGGATGATTGATAGAAAGATGAATGAAAAACAAAGTTTGTTGGAAGGATGACTGGTAGAAAGATGAATAAAAATAAAGTTTGTTGGAAGGATGATTGGTAGAAAGATGAATGAAAAACAAAGCTTGGTGGAAGGATGATTGGTAAAAAGATGAATGAAAAACAAAGTTTGGTGGAATTTAGTTAAACATGGAAAGTTTGGTAGAAAGATAAATAAGAAAAGAAAAAAGCCAAATGAAAAACATAAACCTTTGTTGAATGATAACCGTTTCCATTCCTTTTGCTTCTATTCTTACGTTTATTTTTATATTCAACAACGTGCGGTTCTGCATGGTTTTCCCATAAAAAAAAAGGAAGAAAAAAAAAAGTTCGAAAATGACAAAAAAAATTTATTTATGGCTGCAGTAAAAGGAAAAACTAAACTACTTTAAATGGTAAAGAAACGTCTCTCCAGTTTGTGTAAATATAGAAAAAAAAACCTAACACTACAAAATAAAACTGAATTTTAAATGTCCATTTTTTGACACCCCCCCCCGCCACTATTAGGTAGAGTATTCATGATGAGTACACTGGAATGGTTTAGGTAGAGTATTCATGATGAGTACACTGGAATGGTTTAGGTAGAGTATTCGTGATGAGTACTGGAATGGTTTAGGTAGAGTATTCATGATGAGTACACTGGAATGGTTTAGGTAGAGTATTCATGATGAGTACACTGGAATGGTTTAGGTAGAGTATTCATGATGAGTACACTGGAATGGTTTAGATAGAGTATTCATCTGAAGACGAAAACTTCAGGAATGTCGTTCTCTACACTCGTGTATTCTTTACAACAGTTGCCTTCTATTCTATTGTACTCATCAGTATACTTTTATTTCACTATGACTAGTTTATGTAGATCATTAAGTAGACAATCTTTTAAGAAGGCTTAACGAAAGTTATTTATTTTCCAGTTTCCAAGCTATTGTTGATTACATTGACACACAGTTTGAGAACTACCTACAAGAGGAATTAAAAATCAAACGTTCTCTCTCAACATATCATGACACACGAGCCCATGCTTGTCTCTACTTCATATGTCCTACAGGACATGGGTAAGTATCTTACTCTCTTTATTACATATTTACAAGTACGTTTTTAAATTAACTTGTAAAAGTTTATATTCCACTAATAACTTCTACCTTGATAGAATAGGAAACAAATGAACATCATAGGTATAAAGAATCAACATATGACCCATACAAATAAGACCTATTTTAAATTTAAGAAGATGTTTTAATTGTATTTGGACAAAATAGTAAAATTATTATTATTCTAGTTGTAGAATTCCACATTTTTCACTCTACGTACTCATGGTGGTTGGAACAGTAACTAAGATAAAGACTGTACGAAGATTAAATTTATTATGACATAGTGTATATAATATTCTATAAAGGTGCCATGAACTTCAAACATCAAAGAGACTTGTTTCAAAACTGATTTTAACTCAAATTCTACATTTTATAAAACAGTTCCTTGTAGAAACATGTTTATCTTATATCTTGAAATGTATTATTTTTGTATATTAAGCCTGATTCAGGTAAAATGCCACTGCAAAGTAAAACTGTTGTTAACATTATATAATTTACTTTTTGTTTCTTCAGAAATTCTAGTCAAACTGATTTCATATATTCATATTCTAGTGAAAAATTGTTTTTTAATCTTTTCTGACAATCTGCTTTAGGTTGAAGTCTATTGACTTGGTGTGTATGAAAAAATTGGACAGCAAAATAAACATTATCCCAATTATTGCTAAATCAGATACCATATCTAAAACTGAGTTACAGCGGTTCAAAATAAAGGTAGGAACCATATCTAAAACTGAATTACAGCAGTTCAAAATAAAGGTAAGGAACCATATCTAAAACTGAATTACAGTGGTTGAAAATAAAGGTAAGGAACTATATCTAAAACCAAATTACAGTGGTTCAAAATAAAGGTAAGGAACCATATCTAAAACTGAGTTACAGTGGTTGAAAATAAAGGTGAGAACAGTACGTAAAACTAAATTACAACAATTCAAGATAAAGGTGAAAACAGTACCTAAAGGTGGATTACAGCATGTATTTTTCAACTGACATTTTTATAGTTCTTTTTACAAAGCTTTGAAAATTTTGTTTTAATTATATTGAATATAACTTTTGTGTCAGCGTGTCTTAGATGAGCATAATCGACATATAATAATGAAAGACTAAAGTGTGAGTTTAAGCAAACATATTTTATGGAATACACAAAGCAGAAAAGGTGCAATTATTTTTAATAGGTTTGTAAGCTTACATAATCTGTCTTTTGTTTTTAATGTTAGTTTTACTAATTAGTTGTGATGAATACTGAGTTTAGTACTGTACTATAATTGTTACATCATTTTATATATCATCTTTTGAGTATCTAATTTAGTTTTCTTTTAATCCAGATTATGAGTGAACTTGTCAGTAATGGTGTACAAATATACCAGTTTCCAACAGATGATGAAACTGTAGCAGAAACAAATTCATCCATGAATGTGAGTATCAAATAAAAAATAATCCAACCACAAATGTAGCACATACAAAAACTGTGGTAGACTAATTCAACCGTACATGTACCACAAAGTGAAACTTTAGTAGACAAATTAAACCATGAATGTACCACAAAGAGAAACTGTGATAATGAATTTAGCACAAATAAAAATTTATAGACCAACTCACCCATAAATGTAGCACAAATAGAAACCGGTACACTAATTCAACCATGAATTTTGTAGAAAGAAAATATATTCATGCTTGAATATATATGTATGAAATATAAGCTTGAATTTTTGTCATCTTACTTAATATATAGAGTTTTGTGTACACATTTTGAATAATAATATTTATGTGGAATATATATTCTGGATATGACTTTCCAACTTGAATGTTCTTGAGATCTTTACTATCTTGTTTTACAGTATTTGAAGAAAAGAGAAATTTTTAACTAAATTGTTGTGTGATGGTGCATGACTTACAAACTGCATGTTTGTATAGCAGTATTATTTTACTCTATTAATTTAATGAGAAAAAACTGCCAGGTGCTTGTTTGTTTTGTTATAACTTCTTCCAAGTTATTGTTACACAACACATATTTAAGATAATTTCCTAATATATTGGATAGCTTTTTATTGATAAACCATTGATTTTATTTGTTCTCAGAATCACATACCTTTCGCTGTTGTGGGTAGTACTGAGTTTACAAAGATAAACAACAAAATGATTAGAGCAAGACAGTATCCCTGGGGCACTGTTCAAGGTAATGTTGTGGCCAAAAATATCTGCAGAACAATAAGTTAGGCAATGGTGAATTGTTCCAGAATATGAATCTATGGTTTTTGAATTCTTTGATAAAGTAGAGCACAGTGATGAATACAAAAAAAGTGACCAGTATAGTGTCCACAAGAGTACTGAACTGATGATTAGAGGTCATGTAACAAATATTTTAAGTTTTACAGACATAGTGCAAACTGCTAATATTTATTTGTTTCACAGTAATAATTAACTTGATATTTAATATCTTTGATCCTTTCCAGCTTCATGCAGCTAAAACCTAAGTCTCAGATTTTAACTAATATCAAGAACTTGTAAGATTCAAGCTATTGAAGTTTGTTGTTCAAATATTTATAAACAAGTATTCTATTGTTCCAACACTTTAACACAGTTAGCATTGATTTTTAGGAGTTTTATTGTAACAAGTTTATCTTAAATTCAGGAGTCTTATAAAGTGTAGCTTAAGTATATGCATGTTTCCTTTTTTATCATGTTACATGCCTGATTACTCCAATACATATGAACAATGGTAGGGGGCAAAAAACGTTTTTGGTTCATCTCCTCCATGATGTCTGATAAAAGATCTTGACAGTCTAGATCTGCTCTTTGTTTAATAATGATAAATGTTTGTGTGAACACCAAATCATATGTTGTTTGCTGTCAGATGTGAAACTCTCGTAAAGGACTCGAGGCACTTGTATGAAGTTTAATTTCTGTTTTACACTTGTGAGGTTGAAAGTTTAATAATCAAAACTTTGATAATGAAGTGAGATGTTCCTTGATTTGATAAATTTTGTTTTCTAGTGGAAAACGAGAACCACTGTGACTTTGTAAAACTTCGGGAGATGCTTATAAGGATCAACATGCAAGACATGATGGAGCAAACCCACACTCATCATTATGAGTTGTATCGCAGGATGAGATTAGAGCAGATGGGCTTCTCAGATGTTGGTGCTGACAACAAACCAGTGAGCTTTCAAGAAACGTATGAACAAAAAAGACAAGAACATGTGCAGGTAAGATTATTTCATCTGCAAGCAAATTTAATACAAAATTTTGGGACCTATACTAAAATACTACAGTAATGGCTGCTAACAGACAGCCCATAGAAGCCTGATTTGAGCCGTGAATACTTTTGCTACTGTCATTTTTTTCTGCACGTGTCAGGAGTTTTTAGTGAGTTACATTCAAAATTTAATTAAGCTCTTTTCTTATCATGATATGCAAATACACTTGGCATAAGAATGTAGCTAATAATCCATATGTTAATATTATATAATTTTTAAATTCTTTACTTATAAGGCAGTATTTAAAAAAAAAATCTGAATCTCATCTTGTATGAGAATTATGACATTTGATCTCTAGGTATCCCCCTCTTATCTAATTTATTTACCACCCCTATGCATTTGGAGCAATCAACACTTTGACCTCATGTATTCATGGAGAAATTTTAAGTGAAAATACTTCCTTAAAAAATCTGATTTTTTGTCTACAAATGACTCTTAATAATTACTAAAATTACATATTAGAAGTTACAGTATGAAAACTATAAAGGTCAATTTGGGTTCACAAACTTGGCTAATTTGACCAAGTCTATAGCAAGAGAGTTAATGAATAGTAAGTAAAACTTGGATATGGTCATTATCCAGTGTGGAAGATAGGGGCCTGTGTGCTACAGTGTACGTAGTGACCGTAAGATGCCAAAATAAGCCATGTTGTATCATATTAAGAATATTTCTTTGTAACTTGGATGGGTATGGAATACAGTTAGATTTGATAAATGGTTTAAATATGCTGTAAGAATAGTGTATGAATTCTGTAATAACTTATGCTCAGAAATTGGAGAAAACTTGTTTCTCATGGCTGTTACATTTATAATGTGGCTAGGGTTATACATGTTCTTCCTATATAGGCTCTCCAGCGAAAGGAAGAAGAGATGAGGCAGTCGTTTGTGGTCCGTGTGAAAGAAAAAGAGGCAGAACTAAAAGAAGCAGAAAAAGAGGTAATAACTGAACAGAAGCATATTCGTTCATTCACTTCCACACTCATCTTTCAAGTTAAATTTAATCATTAATCTCATGTTTATATTTGTAGTTTGTCTCTGGTCATGCAGTAGTTTAATTGTTGGCTGGATAGTCAGTTCTGGATCATACAGTTCTTTTAATGTTGGCTAGATAGTCAGTTCTGGATCATACAGTTCTTTTAATGTTGGCTAGCTAGTCAGTTCTTGATCATGCAGTAGTTTTATTGTTGGCTAACTAGTCAGTTCTTGATCGTACAATTCTTTTAATGTTGGCTAGCTAGTCAGTTTTTGGTCATACAATTCTTTTAATGTTGGCTAACTAGTCAGTTCTTGATCATACAATTCTTTTAATGTTGGCTAGCTAGTCAGTTTTTGGTCATACAATTCTTTTAATGTTGGCTAACTAGTCAGTTCTTGATCATACAATTCTTTTAATGTTGGCTAGCTAGTCAGTTTCTGGTCATGCAGTAATTTTATTGTTGGCTAACTAGTCAGTCCTTGTTCATCTGGTAGTTTTGTTGTTGGCTAACTAGTCAGTTCTGGATCATAGAATTCTTTTAATGTTGGCTAGCTAGTCAGTTTCTGGTCATGCAGTAATTTTATTGTTGGCTAACTAGTCAGTCCTTGTTCATCTGGTAGTTTTGTTGTCGGCTAAGTCTTAGTAGAGACAGAAATAGCTTTTTTTATTTTGATATGACAAAATTGCTCTTGTAATTTTCTCACCTCTTAAGCACAGATCTTGGTTCCTATTGTCAGAATTACCAGCCAATTGAATACACTCGTACATCTTATGGTTTATGTGAGAGTAATAGTTCCTCTGACATGAAGTTTTAATGTACACTCATACATCTTATGATTTATTTGATAGTAATAGTTCCTCTGACATGAAGTTTTAATGTACACTCAAACATCTTATGGTTTATTTGAGACTAATAGTTCCTCTGACATGAAGTTTTAATGTACATTCATACATCTTAGGGTTTATTTGAGAGTAATAGTTCCTCTGACATGAAGTTTTAATGTACATTCATACATCTTATGGTTTATTTGATAGTAATAGTTCCTCTGACATGAAGTTTTAATGTACACTCAAACATCTTATGGTTTATTTGAGAGTAATAGTTCCTCTGACATGAAGTTTTAATGTACACTCAAACATCTTATGGTTTATTTGAGACTAATAGTTCCTCTGACATGAAGTTTTAATGTACACTCAAACATCTTATGGTTTATTTGAGAGTAATAGTTCCTCTGACATGAAGTTTTAATGTACACTCAAACATCTTATGGTTTATTTGATAGTAATAGTTCCTCTGACATGAAGTTTTAATGTCCTTGTCTTTCACTTCTTTATAAAGCTTCATACCAAGTTTGACAGCTTGAAAAAGCAACATGCTGAAGAAAAGAAGAAGCTAGAGGAAGAAAAGAAGAGGTTGGAAGAAGAAATTAACACATTCAACAAAAGGAAATTGGCAATCATGCAAGCCCAGACTCAACCACAGTCACACACACACACTCTTGGAAAGAGCAAAAAGAAATGAAACGATGAAGTTTTGGTGCAGCCATTTGACATTAAAATATTACCAACAAAGCCAAAATATAAGTGTACTATTAGTTGAATTTTTAGTTATGTAAAGTTTTCTCAATTCTTACTTCTTTTTTTTTAGTATAAACAAGATCAGGATATAACTTACATTTCAGCTGCTGTAGAATCTCTGTAATTACAATCTGTTTCAAATTAACAAGCAATATTTCATGGTGTAAACATACAATAAATATAAAACTGCCTTATGATTTATTATTCGTAAATATAAAAAATAATTCCTTTGGTTTCATTATATTATGTGCTAATGTATATATGAGTGTAGTGCAAAGTTTGATCTTATATTTTTAACCACATCAATTTGATTATATGTAATTTTGAACCTTAATGGGATTTGTCAACCTTTGTTAAGCTCCTTCAGTTTCTTTTTTAAGTTACTTGACGTAACATACTTCTGTAATTGTTTAAACTATTGCTGTAAAAGTGACTAAAATTTGTAATATTTAAAATAACGAGGATTCTGTTAGACAGCAGTTATTCAGGGACTCTGTTATAAATTTAAGGTTTCAGGTATAAATTGTCAGTCCGTATTTAAAAACCTACTTACTCATTTTCATAACCTGTACTATGATTTCTGTTATTTAAATCCGTAATTAATTGTTCAGTACTAGTTCTTGAAGAATCCAAACTGGATTCCAACTTATTTAGCAGATGGTCCTGGACATATTCTTGATTTCAAGTGAAATTTTCCAAATCCCAGACTGTTTAACTTGTACCTGGTTAATGTATATGTATAAAATTCACAACTTTAACATATCATGCCTTAAAGACAAAATCTTTATAGTTACACTTATTACACATCATTTTACTTTATAAGTCATCTTGAAAATCCTGGATTTTTCCACACATTTCCCTGACCTAGATTTTCATCTACTCGTACTAGTGACTTTAAAATTAGAAATTTGAATTGTTGGTATGCTAATTTTGATAATAAAAACATCCAAAAGCTGAGTAGAGAAAATTTTGATGATTTCTTTTGCTTGAAATGATGTTGTTACTCCCCTTTGACAAACTTATTTGCACCAAAAACATATGTTATTAGCATTGTTTAACATTATTTATGTATGGATAACTTAAAATATTTCAGTTTGGTTATTTCCTTTTTTTTTAAATGTTTTTTTTTAGAAAATCTTGGTGTGGTTGTAAAATTAGTTATTATTTAATCACTCACAAAGAGAGAAAAGATACTTTCATTTATGTTAACAATTTACTATCAATAGAAATGTTCACTAATTTCAAGAAGATTTACAGTATTCATATTACTTGTGGGGGCTACATCAGTGGCTAATTTTAAAATGTACATCTGTGTAATATTATTCCAATTTGTAAATTTTATGTTCTATTAGTTAATTGGAAACAGTTTTTAATTTTTTTGTCTACATTAGTGTGTGTTCTTACTTTCTTTCACCGTGATGAAGTTTGTAACTTTTGTAATTAGGTAGTTTAAGAACACGGTACAGTTGGGTGTACTTGTAAAGCTCAGACATAAGACTACTTTTACAAATCAACTTTTGTTCTAGTGTTGAAAATTTAACATCATTTAAGGCATGATATCAGTAGCTACATATCTTCAAATATGGTATTCCTATTTTTAATTTATTTCGAAGATTTTTTTTATTTTCTAAAAAGATTGCCATGTCATTAATAGAGTATTCTGTGTTGTACGTGTATGTTCTTTCTGAAAGGTTAATGGAAGTTTGAAGAGGTTTTTTAGCTGTTATTAGTTTATCATTAGACACAACAATTGTCCACATCTATTTCACCCTGTTTTTAGTTTTATCTGATTGGAGGATTACTGTTAGACACTGTTTATTTGTATAAGAATTATCTGATTGGAGGACTTATGTTTGACACTGTTTATTTGTATAAGAATTATCTGATTGGAGGGCTACTGTTAGACATTGTTTATTTGTATAAGAATTATCTGATTGGAGGACTTATGTTTGACACTGTTTATTGTATAAGAATTATCTGATTGGAGGGCTACTGTTTGACACTGTTTATTTGTATAAGAATTATCTGATTGGAAGACTACTGTTTGACACTGTTTATTTGTATAAGAATTATCTGATTGGAGGACTTATGTTTGACACTGTTTATTTGTATAAGAATTATCTGATTGGAGGACTTATGTTTGACACTGTTTATTTGTCAATTACCATTATAGCTTTGTAGTTTGTAATCCAATTTTGTCTTCTATGTGTAACTAGTGGTCTACTAAATGTATTAATGTCTACTTCCTTTACCTGGGAAATTTAATATTAGTCTTGATCAACCTTTATCAATATATAGAAAACAATATAACCTGCTGTTATAATAAAGTTTATGAATACCATAAGTCATCTAATTTATTCTAATCAAATAATTCTTATACAAATAGACAGCATCAAACAGTAGTCCTCCAATCAGATAATTCTTCCTTGTGATTGGATTACAAACTACAAAGCTGTAATGGTAATTGTTGTGATTGGATTACAAACTACAAAGCTGTAATGGTAATTGTTGTGATTGGGTTACAAACTTCAAAGCTGTAATGGTAATTGTTGTGATTGGATTACAAACTACAAAGCTGTAATGGTAATTGTTGTGATTGGATTACAAACTACAAAGCTGTAATGGTAATTGTTGTCTTAAATGCACCAATTCAGACCCACATTTTTATTAATTTTAACTACGTAAGTTTGTGTTTATAGTGTAGATTTTAATGAATATATTTTTTTGTGTTATTTGATGTTATCCATTTAATTGTCAGTAGTCCTAGGTACAAGCAACTGTCAATCAACCACATTGTGAATCATTCAGGCAGCAGGTGAAGGTAATCAGAATGTTGTCTACATGTACAAATCAGTGGATGGTTGAAGTATCTATAACTTACACTTAACCTAAGCATTTTTAACTCCTATGAACTGTAAGAAGAGAATAGTGACTTCATTGAAAATCTTCATTTTAATCTTGACCTTAGAAAATCTGAAGTGTGGTTTCAGAGAATAAGAATGAGTGTTCCAACCACAGAAATGATAATATAGGTTCGCTGTTTTGTGCAAAGCTATGCAATGGGCTATCCGTGCTTTGTCCACCACAAGGAATCAGATTTCATCATTATAACTTTGGAAACTTGCCACTGAAGAACAATAATATAGTACTTTGAAGACTGGAATCAAAATTCACTTGCCATAGTTTGAGGTTTGCAAGTGTTTGTAATCTGACAAATACCAACTAAATCCATCTTGGTTTACCACTCATGTAGACAAACTGGTATATAATAGTTTCAAGTAACTAGAAGAAGGTTTTCACATTATTACTTGACAACTCATCCCCAAATATATATATATATAAAATATCAGATCCTAAAATAATTTTAAAATTTCCAAAAAGTGAAAGAAAATTAACTTTGAAAGCAACTAATATAAGTTGAGTTTCTGTGTATTGTACCTGTGAGAAAATGTATCTTTTGCAATACCCTCGGTTTGGAAAAAAACCTGGTGTAAGGGATGAATTAGTTTGTTTCCCATAAGTTAACCCTAAGTTTGGAAAAACCTGGTGTAAGGGATGAATTAGTTTGTTTCCCATAAGTTAACCCTAAGTTTGGAAAAACCTGGTGTAAGGGATGAATTATTTTGTTTCCCATAAGTTAACTCTAGGTTTGGAAAAACCTTGTGTAAGGGATGAATTAGTTTGTTTCCCATAAGTTAACCCTAAGTTTGGAAAAACCTGGTGTAAAGGATGAATTAGTTTGTTTCCCATAAGTTAACCCTAAGTTTGGAAAAACCTGGTGTAAGGGATGAATTAGTTTGTTTCCCATAAGTTAACCCTAAGATTGGAAAAACCTGGTGTAAAGGAGGAATTAGTTTGTTTCCCATAAGTTAACCCTAAGTTTGGAAAAACCTGATGTAAGGAATGAATTAGTTTGTTTCCCATAAGTTAACTCTAGTTAAACTTATGTTAAAGTTTTCTTCAATACCCATTCAAGCCGTCTCCAGCCATTATAAGTTAACTCTAGGTTTGGAAAAACCTGGTGTAAGAGATGAATTAGTTTCTTTCCCATAAGTTAATCCAAGTCATACTTTTTCGTAGTTAACTGTGATCATAATAAAGAAGAAAAGTGAATAAACACAACTTGTAAATATAATACGTTTTCTTTACATTTCTTCCTTGATTTTACAACATAAGATAAGGTGTAGTTCCAACATCTTAATATCTTTTGGTGACTATATGGCAAACTTCCAGACTTGTAAAAGAGAACAAACATGGATTCACTAAAGGAAAACCTTCCCTAACCAATTTCTTGCCTTTGTTTCAGTGATATTTTTACGTGGAAGAGAGAAATGGTTTGTTCTGCATAGATTTACATTAAGGTGTGATGACACTGAACATTATCTATGAAAATGACATTACTGTGTACTGAGGAAAAACTAGTTGATTGGGTTATAGGGTGAGAAAAGGCAAAATAAATTATTAATCAGGGGAGTGAACAACAATTTGTGGGGAGTTCAAATTCGATGACGAGGAACCCACTTTGAGACTAATAATGGCTGGAGACGGCTTGAATGGGTAATGAAGAAAAACTTTAATATAACAGCAAATGTACAACGTTTCGACAAGGTTTTGTCATCATCAGGTACAAGGTTAATGTAATTTTTTATTGAAATATTGATTGAGAGTAAATAGTTTCAACAGTTGTACCTATGTTATGACGTGATTCTTATTCAACCCAATTGGCCATCTGGTCTCACAAACGCATCAGCAAACTATTTGAGCAGTTCACCGAGTTCTTGGCTATCTTTGAGTTATGATTGTTTGTACAATACTTAATTAGACCTTTGGAAGCTGTGTGTTCATTCTTGACATAAGACATGGACTGAAAAACTGACAGTACTTCTAATTTATATTATTACCCCTGCCTCTGTTACAGTACTGATGACAATTCCATTTGAAAGCTGAATAGCAAAATACCCATAGTCTGTCACTGATACAACGCCCATGCTCAGATAAATAATTGTTGAGCTAGTGCAGCCTGCTTTCCAGAGAGAAATGTGTTCTTAATGCATTGGTTCTAACATAGCAGCAGATAGTGAACAGCACTAGACTGCATCTACAGTATACCAGAGAATATCATTTGCACATTAGGGGGAATTACTAAATCCTTTTGAATCTGGTCATGCCCAAATCCAGATCAGAGACCTTAATTTAGCACACAATGTTTCAAAGACCGAGTCAGAGTTACATGTCTCCATGCCAGCAATTCATGTTTATTTATCAGTACATACCATGTAATGCCCATTCAATGGTTCTCCAAGCCAGCAAACATGATGCTTAGTGGGAGCTGACTGTTGAACTCACCAAAGTTGGTGGCTACATCCAACTCAGTTAAACCAGAGGTACTGCAACAAACATTAAAACTGTGCCAGGAGAGCCATGTTGTCCTATAAGGAATTATGGTGGCTGTGTAATAGTACCTTGTAGCATTTGCTGCACAGTAGCTGATTATATACATCTTATTTTAACCTTGGAGCCAAGTCCACAACTTCAGATTCCACATGACCACTTCAAACTATTTCACTACAGAAAACGACTCCACGAGACACCAGATGTCTCTCAGACCCATGTGGTGACATATGAGCTCATTAGAGAACTCTTCGATAAGTATCTCGTTGTTATATATGGGAGACATACCCAAAAATGCTTTCATATGCAATCTCCTTAAATGGTTTGTGTAAGCAGTCAATTTCTCATGGAGCCCTCATCTTCAAGCTTGGAATTTAATCTTGTAGATTAATCAATTCTCGACAGGGCCAAACTTTCAGCGCAAATCATTGACAACTTTGTCCCAGTAATCGAGTTGCTCTTCATGCAAGGCATCGAATGCGAGAGTGCCAAGCTATTGCATTGCCTAATCTTGTGTCCATCCATTCTAACCAACAATTTGCTTAAAACCTTCAAGGAAAAGTCCACATCTTCTTTTGCCTTAAAACATTGGCAGTTTCCAGTTTTATCATAATTACATTATGGTGCTAACAGTAGCCTACTTTCAACTTCTCTACAACCTAACTGTGAGAGTGTGCACATTTGGGGAAAAGCCATTGTATTCTCCCAAAAGGCTTCTAATTCCGTCAAAAGACAGAGTCGGCATATAACATGTATAAAGCAGCGATCTTTTTATCCAAACACAAATCAAAACAATGGGTAAGTGTATTTGTAGACGTGCTGAACTAGCAAAAGATGGGTAAGAGAACATTTAATGTTTCGCCCACAAGACCTGTGTGAGACACCCATGTAATCACACTAATGACAAAACAAAAGTAAAATGTAAACCCAGTGTTAAAACAAGTAACACATTAAGTCTAAGAATCTGCTTCTAATGAAAATCTATAGTAAGCCTCGGATTTTAGCAATTCTAATCTAATCCTTTTACATGTAAAATCTAAATTTTAATCTGTTTAACAAGGTAGAGCTTGGCCTTAAATACAATAATAAAGTCAGGTTGCTCATTCCATGCTCCTCATACACATGATCTACACCCATACGGGTATAAGCGTAGGGGCGTGTAGGCTGCTGGCTATAAATTATTTCGCAGACCGAAAAGACAACTTCCTATCATAATGTGAAGTAATATTTATCTTCCCCTATAATAGAACATGCCTCATGGTCCCGTGTGCAATTAGAGTTAGTAACACTGTTTACTGGATTGATTTTCTATGTCCAAACGTAACTGAAAGAAAATAGAACTTTCAAAAATGTTTGGATATTAATTGAGTAACCAACACGTATTAAAGCAATGGTATGTCAAGCTCCTGAGCCTCCCTTTGACATGAGCTTGCCTCTCCCCAGGATTGTCAGACACAGGGCCAAAATAATGTTACGACAGCGGAAGTCACGCGACGCTGTAAGCATGCGCGCTGGAGTTTCTAGAAGGATCATGACTTATCGATGAACCTCGCGAATGTCCGAGTGTTTGCCAGACGCCTCTTTTTCTTAGTATATAAGCCCGGCAAATAAAGCCAGCGATAGATAGATTGAAGATATAGATAATTGAGTCAAGCGAACAGTAGGCACAGTAAGTAAAGTGTGTGAACCACTGTAATTTATAGCGTGTGTTATAAAGGTTGTTAAGTTTAAAGTGACTGTGGAAATTCTATGTATTACAAAGTTGTATCGAGAAAGAATAAACTAGTTTTAATTAAGAAAGGACTTGTATCGCTGAAGTTCCACGGAAAGAATTTATACCGGAAATTAACAAAAGAGCAGATACGTAACAATAATAAGATTTTTTACTAGTTAGCATATGCAAACTGTACCTAAGAAAAAGGACTAGTACATGTTTATTTATTTTCGACATTCGGTTAAAAAGAATGCTTGCACAAAATTTAGAAAATATTACCTGAATAAAGATATATTCTACACAAGTTATGGAAATGTAAACTTTCATGGCTTCTTCAATCTTTATATGACTACTAAGTATCTATATTTGAGGTTTTCATTAATAGTATGATTAACCCTATCATCTCCCCTTGGACAACGATAAGTGTACGGACTTACAACTTTAAATTCCAGGGTTCGATTCCTCGCGGTGAACACATGAGGTAGCCCAATGAAGATTTGCTTTAAAAAACAAATATACCAAACAAACTCCATCATCTGAAAACTATTTTTTCTACTTATTTACCAATATTTAAGAAATTTTCAAAACAGCGTCAACCTCTTTTATGTACACTTTAAAACCATATCAATATCGTTGTTAAATAACACTTTTATTTTGCTTCATGTTTATTAAATATATTCTCGTTTATAAGCGAGAAATGGCGAGAGCTTAGTCTTCTGAAATAAAAATGGTAGAACAAGCGGAAAGTTATACTGAAGTTCCTGAACCGGCTTCTATTATTAGCCAGGTTATAAATGAAATTTTTCTTAACCCTCTCAATCTAATTCTTTTAACAATATGCGGTTTTCTGATATACAAGATATTTTTTGCTAAAGAACGAACTCCGTCACCAACACCAAAATCCAAAGAAGTAGAACTCCCACCATTGAAAAAAAGAGACATGACACTCGAAGAGCTGAAAAATTACAATGGAATGGACTCTGATGGCAGAATATGTGTTGCTGTAAATGGGAAAATATTTGACGTAACCAAAGGGAAACGATTTTATGGACCAGGTGAATTTTATTTTTTTTTTCTATGGCTTCATGCGGTGTATATTTATGTGTTAGTTCTTCAAGTTCAAGCTACTTATAATTAAGTTGTATTTGTAACTTAATAATTGTTAATTGTAGTTGTACCATAGAAAGAATATACAATAAAAACTTGAACAATACTAGACAGAAAACAACAACAACAACAAAAATTTGTTAGTGCGTGTTAAATTTTATTAAAGGAATTATTATATATGCTTTAAAGTTTGAATTCTTAAAATAGGACTTTGAAGCCAGTATCACACAGCAAATATTTTTTAAAATGTGAATATTTACTTATGTTAATTTTATTCTTTGTTTTATCTGTGTTTTGTTAAAGTAACCATATGTATGATGTGTAAAAGACCAAAATATGAAACATAGTGGCTAGATACCTGGCAGCGAGGAATGATCTTTCAAATACTAAATACCAGGTACTGAGTAGTAGTGCAAATGTTGGAATATTAATGAGCTACAGTGACAATAATAGTGATTATATTATCACAAATTATATATTTATAAGCAAGAATGGTGATTACTATATATTTTTCCAGTACAAAAGTTTTATTGAGATCATTTCATTGAGCTTCAAGATAAATCAGTCTCTTAAGTTATCATTACTCATTCTCTAAGTCAAGGTTTAGAAGTTCTTAAATTGAGAGGTTTTAAGTTATTTGTATAATAAATGAACAAGTTCCTAGTCTAATGAGTAGACTCTTTAAATACAAAAGTCATAAAAAGAGATGTAAATTATGGAACTCCAAATCTCTCTAAAAAAAACAGAAAAATAATTTCAAAATCCAGCCCTAATCCGCCAAATGTTCATCAACCCTTTGCTTAAACTCTTGTAAAATTGCATACTTTACCTTCTGATCCACAGACTTACCTCCGTACTGGAGAAATAACTGCTTTCAACTGGAGGTGTTTGACCTTTCAAAATCTTAAATTTATGATATTTTATCTCACTGTTCTTAGACTTCAACATGGAAAAATCTGATGTATCAATTTTATAAATTTCTGTAATAAGTTTCAATACTTCAGTTATATCAGTGTTGACCTTTTTTTTTTTCAAAAGAACAAGTCAAAAGATCTCAACAACCCCTCCCTCCCTGGTAGCCATTCTCCAAACCCCCTCCAATAACCCAATGTCTTTCTTAAGATAAGGGGAACAAAATTACACATAACACTCCAAATGAGGCTTAACTAGAAGCTTGGTACAATAGAACCATTGCCTCTTTATAGTTAGGCTTGTACTCAACTCTTTTAGCTTTACTGTTTGCAGTAGAACCATGATCCAAATTTTATGAGTTGTACTAACCCTTAGTTGAAAATCCTTTTCCTCAGCCACATAATTAAGTTAACTATCTATTTTTATATTTGTAATTTCTATTATGATAACCCTTATACATAACCTTACACGTAACATAGTTAAATGTCATTTATCCAGCTAAACAGCATCATTAACATAACTGAGGATTTGTGGAAAATAATTGTAATGTAGTCTGAATTACCTTATGTACTTAACCTATGAGATTTAAGGTTCCCTATTCAATCCTTTTTCATATATTGCAAATATGGGATACAGGGTGGGCACGCTCTTTGTAATTGTGAATTAATAGAAAAAACAAAACAAAACATGAACTCTGCTTCAAGAGATACTACTTATAATGTTGATTTCCCTGAATTACAAATAAAACTGGCATAGTTCAATAACTTGTGTGCAAATGGCTCCTGATAAGTGGTGTGGCCATAGCTTTGACACATACCAAACAAATGACACCATCCAGCTTCTTAGGACATTTACAGACCTGCCACTCTGTGTGGAAAAAATCTTTAAATTTTGCACCATTTATCAAGGGTGGCACTTTATAAGTAGCCAGGGAGCCATTTTACATTAAGGAACTATCTAGAAATAACTTCAAGTAATCGTGGCAAGATACGTGTCATGAATAGGTACAGGCGTCAACAGTAACTATCATTATTTAGCACTTTTGATCCTCAGGAAGAAAGTTATTTCTCTCTCTCTCTCTCATGTATATATTAAAAGATTAGTTGCAAAAATTAAGACGAGGTGGATGTTTGGCTAACTTTATGGTGAGGGCTTCATTTCCATCTTAATTACAATTTTAAGTGATTGTGTTTCTAAACCATCTGGGAGTCAAGCTAAAATATGAAGTTCAGATGATTGTTACTTTCAGATTACCTTAGTTTTTGTAGTTCATCTGTTGCTCTGCCATATGATAAAGTAGTTATTTACTTGTAAATAAAATAATGACTTATAACTGTAGAATATATCTTTATTGGCTCAATAGTTTACTAGTAAAGCTTTGTTAGGAGTTATTGATAATCTATAAGTGTGCTAATCCAGTAGAAACTCTAGCTGAATTAGCACACTGGTGGGTTAACAGTAGTTCCTGATGAAGCTGTAATAGCAAAATATTTTAAGTCAATAGATATATTCTGGATATATATAGGTCATTATTTTATTTAGATTAATAGATATGTCTTGTAATAAACTCCAATTTGCATTAAACAAAGTTAAGAACAATTATTTACTTTGACAAAAATAAAAGATTTTGTGGTTAAAAGACCCTGTAGGTCAGTGTGTAAGAACCTTAAAGGCACACATTCAACTGATACCAGTTAAATTTAACTAATTAATATTAGAGCAACAGTTTCCTTTTTAAGTTTGCAAAACAGTTAAACATACAAGTAACCGTTAAATTGTGACAGTGAAGAAAAACTTCTTTAGCCAAAACAAAGCAAGACTTGAGGATTTGGCATTATGTTATCAAGTTCTTTGTTTGATTGTAATTTAACAAGTACATTAAGTGCTCTTGCATTTATCAGTTTCAAATTTGATCTTGTGTTTATTTCAAAGTATGGTGATAAACAGAAACAAATGAACTTGAGATATATGTTAAGCCTAAAACTCTTTTGGTGTTTTAGGAAAACTCTTGACAATTGATAATTTAAAGCCTCATGGATCCACCTAACACAGTTTTGTTTTTCAGAGTGTGTGTGACTGTATTTCTTAAATGTAAAGGTGATCCAGATTAAAAGAAATCAAAGAAAGAGGTCTTATTTTACATAATTTTCTAACAATGATTAAATAGTTAGTTATCAAGTTTTGTGTTGCTAACAGCTAGAATGTGATAATTAATTGGTGTGTAATTTTTACAGGTGGTCCATATTATGCTTTTGCTGGTCGAGATGCTTCCAGAGGATTAGCCACTTTCTCGGTAGAAGCAGCTAATGACGAATATGATGATCTTTCAGACTTGAATACCATGCAGATGGAAAGTGTAAGGGAATGGGAGATGCAATTTAAAGGTAATGCATTATATGGCATGAAGCACTTTAACACCTATTCTTTCTGCATGAGCACTTCGTACAAAGTGTGTCTATTGGGAATCATATTAATAGTATAGGTGTACACTGTACAGCATACTGTTTATTCAATTTATGTACAGGATTTGAAGGTTTATTCCAATTCTTTTATTAGTGATGAAAATTCCTAATTTTATTCATTGTATTAGTAATTACTAATCAATAGCAACCTATTGAAAATAATTGAGAAATTACTCAGATCCACAGGATGTACTGGAAGGTAATATTCTTTACTCAGATCCACAGGATGTACTGGAAGGTAATATTGTTAACTCAAATCAGCAGGATGTACTGGAAGGTATTATTGTTTACTCAGATCCACAGGATGTACTGGAAGGTAATATTGTTACTCAGATCAGCAGGATGTACTGGAAGGTAATATTGTTTACTCAGATCCACAGGATGTACTGGAAGGTATTATTGTTTACTCAGATCCACAGGATGTACTGGAAGGTATTATTGTTTACTCAGATCCACAGGATGTACTGGAAGGTAATATTGTGTACTCAGATCCACAGGACGTACTGGAAGGTAATATTGTTTACTCAGATCCACAGGATGTACTGGAAGGTATTATTGTTTACTCAGATCCACAGGGTGTACTGGAAGGTAATATTGTTTATTTAGATCAGCAGGATGTATGTTTACTTTTACTGCACTAACTTCTCTGTCTGTAGAAATATATTTGTAAAAATGTATAATTGAGCCACAGAATTACAGTTGATAACTGTTTTTGTTTTCTAGAAAAATACCACTATGTTGGAAGATTATTAAGGTCTGGTGAAGAACCAACTGACTATTCAGATGATGAGGAAACTAGTCAAGACCAAAGTCTAAAAGATGGAGAAAAGTCAGACAAAGAACACCCTGAAGAAAAAAACAAAGAGGAATAAATATATAAATGAAATAAAAATATTTGAGCAGTACACTTTTTAAAACAGCTGTCTGTGTGGTGCAAACTTTAGCAGGATGTAATTCATTTTTTTAAGAGTCCTTGCTCAAAACAGTTGTGATTGTGAGGATTTTGTAGTGTAATTGGGTAAAATAAAAATGATCCAAAACATGATTTTCTGTTTGTTTTCCAAATGAAACAAAAACAATTGAAGTTGGAGGTTGTCTTGCAGGTCATAAAATGTGGCTAGCTTTGTTTCTACTGTATCTTTTGTCATTGTACTTGTTCCCAGTGTTTGTGTTTCTATTAGGGTCATATATTGTAAATGAAAGTGTTTCTAAAAGTGAATTTTTTTACTGGTACTTATTGAAATGAGCATTACTACTACTACTCTTATCTGTAAACACTGTGTGTGTCTAATCACAATATATGAAACCATGTCACAGATTATTGTAAAAGTATCGTTTTCTGTCCGGTCTTTACTAAAGTCCAGTGAATGTAGAATATGTTACCCGAAATGTAGAAGCAAAAGAATGGTGTTTACATGAAGTACATTAATGTAATTAATTATATCAACCTGTAGCTAAGGAAGGCAACATTTTGTTGTATGAAAGAGATTACTGTTAGGAGTAATGTTTTTTTTTAGTGTTTGATAGATTTCCATTTATATTTGTTAAGAAAATGTTTTGACAATGTTATAAATCAGGAATTGATGTAAAAATGTTTCATACATGGAATTGTGGGTTCTTAAATAAACAGATGTTGAATAATTTTTTGTTGCTTTCTAAAAACCTTATTGCTTCAAGTAATGAGTGAATTATAATTGTTAAGAGCAAAACAGCTTGTCAGAAAATTCATTGATGTCATCCTTATTACCATGAACCATTTATTTCTTATACGTAGGAATATAGACTGTGCAAAAAACTGTAATATTCTTTTCAATCATGATGTTTGGGTTTGTACCCTCACTCATTTCTATATCTGTTCAACTTCATTACCTGCAATACAGTAGAAAGACATATTTAAATATAATAATGTAATTATTAGTATTATAATAATAAATCGTATAGATTAATTAAAGCATGAAAATATGTCTGTTCTTACACAAGTTGTATTTTATCACTTGCCAACAATAATAATGCTTACTCCAAATGTAGTTAATGTATTTTCGACTGGTATCACAGTACAATGAAAAACCTATAGATGCTATCAGCAATGGGACGATTAGTCTAGTTAACTGTCTGATGATAGGTTTCCGTTTGTTTCAGAATTTTTCACGCAAAGCTCCACAAAGAGCTATTTGCCCATAGCCGTCCTTAATTTCAAACTGATACATTAAGAGGAAGGAAGCTACTCAACAGCACCTGACACCAAACATATGCTACTTTTGAAACGTCATAGTTTAAACCTGACAAATACTTCTATTAACGTATTAAGACTCTATATGCTAAAATCTTATTTCCAACAAAGATGTTATTATTTGTTTCCTAACGGTCAAAATCACAAAAAAATGTACAAAGTTATCCAATGTTAAGTAATGGAAAATTCGACTGTAAATTCCCGCCAATTTCTGCTGAGTTATTTCATTATGTGACGAATGACACGGAAGGCCGTTTATTTTAACAGAAGCCCTAAAACATCCCTTTTTTCACCCCAAAATGAGACCCTAGAACCTTTCCTTACAGACAAAGTAGAGTTGGCTTTAATGTACTACTCCTGCAAAATAAAACAAACTTTTACAAAATAATAAAAATAGGAAAGAGGATCAAGTTTTTTTTTATATGTAAAACATCTAAAACTAAGTCAAAAACTGCGTAGGACATTTGTCACAAGTTTATATGGAACACGTCGTTTAGTAGACAATTATACATGTTTAGAAACTTCTTGAGCTTGATATCATTCCTCGGGGGTGGGGGTAATATCCAAAGGAACATATATATTTTTATCTTTCATTGATTATTTTAACCTACGCATTTTCCTAACACCCTATATACACATCATAATATGGCTTCACCCACACAAACAAAAGACTGTGAATGGAGTGTAGATGATTATTTACAGGACGTAAACAGAGCCTGGACGGAGGTTTTGGTGTAAGCATGAGACACTGAAATGTCTTGGTGTGCACATGCCCACACAGGAAGTGTTTTAAGACGGAAGTAATGCACCGGATGTTCAAACACGAGCTTCAAACTGTACCATCTCCTGATTTTTGACCATTATAGGAATCTTGCGGTTATAGCTACAGAAAATAATCTCCGCGATTCTTCCCTCGCAATATCGTGTTCTCAGAGAACGATATTCTCCCTACAGATTTTATATAACCATTACATCGAATATATATATTGTAATCTCAGACCATAAATGTAATTTGAACTATACCGTTTAGTAACTCTTTGTGACCAAAACCTGACGTGTAAACGACATTTCTTAAACTAGGGCCATATTCAGTATGATGTTGAAAGGACAACAAACCGGTTTGTTTCAAGTGTCTTTTATCATACTTTTCATTGTGATACCAGCATTCAGCTACATGTATTTAAAACCGATACGAATCGGATTAGGTAAGTTGTTTGTGTTTAAAACAAACATTGTAGTTATAAGTATGGTTAATTTGTTCTTATTAACGAAAAACAAAGTTTAAAATAAATGGATCCTGGTGGTAAGTTTGGAGGTTTATAATGCTGAAATTCGGGATTCTGTTCCTGCGATTAGCACAGCACACAGTTAGTCCACTGGATACACTTGTGCCGGCTTAACAGCAAATAAACAAGTTTGAATAACTTTACGAACAGTGTAACTGAATCTTTTCACTAGTTCAAAACGATGTATGGTTTCAAACTTTCTTTTCTCACATTCTAAAATTTAGAAATACTACAACTTCATTTTAACATATTTATACTTGAAATCACAAGTTGCTTTTTACGCTAATAACGACCTACAGATGATCATGTTTGCTAGTTTTGTTTTTTTGTTATAACAGTCCTATAGACCTTTTTACTCTTGACGCGTTGGATTTGTTTGTTTGTTTCGAAGTTAAGCACAAAGCTACACAATGGGCTATATGTGATCTGCCCACCACGGGTATCGAAACCAGGTTTCTAACGTTGAAAGTCCGCAGACATACCGCTGTGCCACTGGGGGGGTTTAATTGTTACATTCATTACAGCTAAAGAAAGTTTAATTGTTACATTTATTACAGCTAAAGAAAGTTTAATTGTTACATTATTACAGCTAAAAATGTTTAATTGTTACATTTATTACAGCTGAAAATGTTTAATTGCTGCATTTGTTACAACTAAATAATGTATAATTGTTATTGTGAAACGATGTTCGGTTATTAAGTGACGCTAAATAACATTTAATTGTTACACTTTATTAAAGGATTGCTGCTACAGTTAAATAACGTTAAATTATTATAGTTAAATAATATTTGATTGTTACAGTTTTTTCTTAGAGTTAGATAATGTTTGATTATTACAATTAAAGGATCTTTTATTGTTGCAGTTAAATCATAGATTTTTGTTATAGTTTAAATGTTACATTTCAATATTACAAGTAAAGTACTCTTAAAGTAATGACACGAGTTTTTTTTTAATTTTCATTCCAACGAGTCGATTTTAGCTGTAATAATGTAACAATTAAACATTTTAGCTGTAATAATGTAACAATTAAACTTTCTTTAAACTGTAGCAAAAAACCTTTAAGTAGAACAATTACATATGATTTAACTGCAACAATCAAACATCCTTTAATTGTAACAAGTAAATTTCCTTTAACTTTAACACTTAAACTACATTATGCAGTGTTTGCTACTACACAGTTTTTCGTCATTTAAATTGAACTTGGGCGTTGTAAAAGTATGTTCTTCGTTTCGAGTTTTGCATTAATCTGCCTTCTGGATTACTTCAGGTACTGATATTAAAACAGGTTTCTAACTTCCCACAGAAGTATACTATGCCGAAATATAACAGTTAATTGTAATTTAACCGGTTAGTTACATACTAATCTGAGCAATTTATGAAATAAACTTTAAGAAAGCGATTTTTGTTTTTACTAAAGATACTACTTATTTTTCCTCAACCCTTTACACCATGTTTTTTTTTTCTCTAGGTCGGTGTATCGACGACACTTCTGTCCCTCACATGGTTGGTGATACCTGGTACGACGACAAAAAGTGTGAAAAGCTATCTTGTGTATATTTAGAAGGATTTCTATACATATCTGGTTATGGGTAAGCTAGCAGCGTATCGAGTTAGAACATCAGATCTCCAATAAAATTATCTTGTTGGTTTATTTCAGATATTCGTATAACAGCTACCTGCGCTAGCCATTTCTAATTTTGAGCTTACAGACTAGAGGAGATGTAGCTAGTCAACAATACCTAATTCTTGTGCTACTCCAATCCAATTGTTTGATCTGGTTGTCACTCTTATAACGCACTCACTAACAGGAGACGAAACATAGACACTCGAGTTCAAAGTCCGGCACACTAACCACTGGGCTACACCCGGTTCCCAATAAAGTATATCACATTATTTTGTGACGCTGAAGCAACAAGTGCCAAAATCGATATTTCGCATTTAAACATACAACTTTACTTATCTCGTCATAATCAGAATTACAGAAACAATTTTTCTGTGCAGGACTGCTGCTTCGTCGAACCGCCGCGACAAAATTCGGGACCCTCTGCAATGTCAATTTTTAATTGTAGGCCACTTTTTAATACATAATTTTATCGCGAAAATGGAAATTTTGTTAGAAATATAAATACTTCCTTTCATGTTCTTTTTATATCTTTATGAAAATGTGAAAAAAATTTCGACAAGTTTTTGAAAATTCAACCTTTTATCAACGAAATAGTGGGCCCTTTGAATAGTATTTAATTTTAGGCCAATCCTTTCAGTTGCTCCTGAGACTCGGACGACTTCAGATTGGTTTTGATTAATTTCAGTTTAGAAAAACTCCTCTCAGTCACTGGAGCTTAAGTTACATCCAGAGAGCAAAACACACACTGGGATGTATACTTCTACTAAATTATTTTTGTAGATTAAGTGCAGAGTTTCGAGAGCGTCAGTTGTCTCTGGAAGAATTGTAGCTAGACTTTGAAGCTCGAGCACTAAATCAACAGCATCCAACTTAGCTAGAGGAACGCTGGATAGTGCTACAGCTACACTCATGCACGATGTTCCTAGTTCATTGTGAGTGTTCTATATTTCGAATTGCTTTAACGTCACACATTAATCTAAAAATTGGCGGGTAATTACAAGGCAAGTGAAATATGTTTCTTAGTTTCATTAAAGCATAGTTCAGTACAATGTTAAAAACCGTTTTTGTGCAGCAATGACTGGCTAATCTTTTGGTTCTTAACTAGCGAGACACGAGTCACCGATAATTTTGGAATAACTGATATTTATTCTGCCAGTACTTTAGAGCACTTTAATTACATCTTCATAATTTATTTGCCTAAGCAACTTAATTATAAACAGTTGTATAAGGTTAAGAAGTTTTAAAACATTTAGTGTAAAGAAATGTTGTATTCTGCTACAGTTTGAATAATTCTAGAATAAAAAAATTGTAATTTTGATTTATTATGGTAGTTACGAGGTTGGTCAAATTGATCTAGTCTGTATTGAGTAAGAATAGAATAAATAAAATATGAAGATTTATTGACAAAAGAGAGAGACTGACGGTCTGGATCATCAGTAGGAATCCTCACCGGTTGGGGCCCTGGCCCAACTGCGCCACCGTTAATGCGGCCCTGTCTAAGACTCAAATAATGACGTCATGTTTCTTAAACTTAAAAAAAGAGGATATTTTTTGAGTAATTAGTTAAGCTTGCAACAATAAGTAAACATTTACTGTAAAAAAAATAAGATACAGAGGCGAAGTTGGAGATTACTCCATTGTACATTGCGTGAGAAGGTTGAAAAATAAGCTTAACTTGGCACAGTGTTTAAACTTTAAGATGACTATAACTTTGACGTTCATTAAACCTTTATTGATCTGAATGAGTTAGCATGAAGCTACGAATATGTTCATTCATTTATTACAGATTAAAAACAAAACAAAAATGCCATTGTTTCCATTAGAGCCAAAAACTTCCATTCAACGTCTCAACACTTTCATGATTTCTCTAACTATACACCTGTTTAATAATACTGACATTAAATTTTGATTACAGTTTGATATGTTCTATCTACTTTAGAATTAGTTTTGAATGGAATTATCCACCCCTCCAGTGGCTCGGCGGTAAGCCTAAAGACTAACACTAAAACCGGGTTTCGATACTAATGGTATGTGGCCATTGTGCAGTTTTGCGCTTTACAACAAAAACAAATTCTAATTCCTTCCACTTCATAAAGCATTCAACACATAAACAGATCTTCTCATTGAATTCTAATTGTTTTTTTTTTTTTTGTTGGCACAATGCATTATCTTGTCATCAAACAATTTACAGGAAAAAAATAAATAATAGGTCTAGGTTTAAATATCTCGCCAATTAAGAGCGTAGGACGTTTTCCGTATTTTTATTTTATTTTCTAAAAAAATAGTCATCTTCTGAAAATCGTCTTTTAAACAAATTTTCATTACGTTGAAAAATAATTCCTTTAACTTCTATAGATCAGTGTTTTACCAACTTTTATATTTTGGAGTCATGAGCCAATATAAGAACTGTTGATTCCGGTATTTTATCATTTTCAATTCATTCTTCAATGTCTTGTACTCTTTACTGGTTGTCACTTTCTATTTGTTTTATTATCATTTTCATTCTGTTTTAGGTGCGGAAGTGTTGGATATTCTCCTGGGTGTCTAGTAGTTAAAGAAAAAGGTAATTACCCAAAGTGCTGTCCACGTCCCAACTGTTAACAGAGTTCCTGCCATCTGGTGATTACAATTCGAAACACATTGTCATTTAACTCGAACATTGGAGCATAAGAACATTATAGAGAACGGATAGCGATAGGAACAACATATTTACAAATGTACTTTATTAAACCCCATATTACTGGGATAGAAAGATGGTTATTTTAAACAAATTTAAATAATTCTTACTAGAAAACACGTAACAATAACATTTGTTTTGCATTAAGTTTGATTTTATTACTGTATTATCAATGTAGTTGTAACATTGTTTCCGTTTAAAATTTCTCCCTTACAGTTCTTATACATAAAGACGAATTATAGGAATTTCAATAGATAATTATAGTTATAACTTCGTTTAATTAAAGAATTTGATAGTTCCTTATGTTTTAGTTTTCGAAAAAGTGTTGGATGTTCTAAAAATATAAATTATTTCCATTTTAAAGCTGGTGGGAAATGTAGTTTAAGCTAGGATATTGTATCATGACATTTTTCATCAACTTGAAAACAAAATATAAAAACTTACAGATTGGGGTAGAGATTTATAGTACGATTTGTTTCTAATATGATGTGACATTCATCGTGAAAACTGTTGACTTTTGTAATGGGGATACAGAAGAATTAAATTAGTTTTTCAAATGTCATTACATTTATCTTAAATTGAGCGTTAGACTTAACGTCAACAAAAGACAATACGGTACCCTGCCGTAAAGCATCTGGCTCGAAACGTTAAAACACTTTAACATTGGGATTAAATGGACCCCACTTTGTAATCTGACATGCTGGCGTGTCTACTAAGTAGGACTGTCAATGCCTCGAAATGGTGGATGACTTCTGAGAGAAGTGTCACAACAAACAGTAAGGGAAACAAGTTCATTTGCTGAAGTATTAGGTATTTTCT